ACTGTCGGCCAACACACGCCTCCCGACTGGCCCTGCTGGACACGCTGACACGCCGAGACAGACACAGACGGACATAAGGACACGCAGACGTTTCCACGGCGTGAAGCCGTGGAATGATTTCGTCTCAGCCCCTTGGTAGTTACGGCCATTGAGGTGCTGAGGCCTGTGTCCCCTGCAGCTGGTACAGGGCGTCTGATCTGGGCCCGTACGGAGGGGGCTTGATCAATATCTGTCCAGATATGTCAGAGCCCCCACACTGACCGGTACAGGTCATCTGCTAGGCTCGAACCCCTGCCTCTTGACAGTCCAGAAAAGCGGCCACAACAGAGCGTACACCACTGCACTACGGTATACCACGGTAGTTTCTGTCGGGAGCAGGTCTGCACTGTGATGACGCTGCGACAGAGCTGTAGTCTGTACCTGCTGTCCAAGACGGCACTCGAGGCCCGGTTCAGCGGCGTGCGCTGGTGCCGGCTCGGAGCCCTTCGTTCACTCATGCATTTCCACCCATTCATCCAGTCAGTCAGTCATTCATTCATTCATTCATTCTCCGACCCCTCCCTCCCTCCCCCCCCCTCCTGCCCTCATCCAATCCCAGAGCCCCGTTTTCACCTTCAGCCAATCGGATGTTGCCGCCGCCTCCGCCCAGCCCAAGGACCCCCCCAAGGCCGCGACGCTGCCTCCGCCCCCCCCCCCTTCCTCTTCCTCCTCCTCCTCCTCCCCCTCCTCCGCCAGGGCCGGCCAGCGCGCGCCGGACCCCAAAACCCAGACCCTGCCGGCCTCCTGCAAGGCCAGCGAGCGGCCCCCCCTGCAGTCCATGAAGTCCCTGCCCCTGCGGGAGCCGGCGGGGCCCCCCTCCTCGCCCTCGCCCTCGCCGCTCCTCTCCCCCGTACCCCGCTTCTTCTTCTTCCCGCCCCCCTCCGTCCTCAAGACCGTCACCAAGTGCGTCTACCCGAACCCCTCTCACCCCTCTCACCCCTCTCACCCTCCCGCTCTGTCGCAGGTCACCCCTCACGGCTCCCCCCGCGCCAGCCCGCTCCCCACGCCCCTGGGCACCCCCGTGCACGCGCCCCCACCCTCCTCCTCCTCCTCCTCCTCCTCCTCGCGGGC